AAATAAACAGCATAGATAAAAATCCTTTTATGGATAGATCGGCGTTACACACATTTAATAGACATTTCAAAAAAAGATCAACAATTTATATGTGAAGAGTATTGTAAAATCGAAAAAGTGCCACTTAGAAAAGTGGCGCTGCACAGACTATATAACACTACCTCAAAATTTGCACAAATGTTCCGTTATTTTTGTTCTTTCCTGAGCGGAAAATAACTTTTCCTGAGCGGAATTGGATTTTTATTTTTATTAATAACAAAGTTGCTCTAAATTTGTCATAACATCCAAATTTGCGATGATCTACATTTTAAATTTAACGCGCAACATAAAAATAAAAATTCAAGCAATGAATAAAGGTGTAATCCGAAAAAATTTTGGTCCTTGTATAGTATGTGGTAATCAAGATTCTAATATAGAATACAGAAAGATTACCACAAAAACAATATTGAAAATAAATCAAAGTCCTAATATTGAAAATCTAAATATTAAACCTCAAGTTAATGACCAACTTTGTAAAAAACACTATAATGAATTGATTTTTTATGAATGAGGTAAATATAATATTGGTCAGAAACAAAAAAGTGATAAAGATAAAAGTTATCATCAAGGAGGAGCATGTCCAAAACGCATTTGTTTGACACAAGAGAAATATGAAAACTTAATTGAAAAATTGGAAAAATTGGAAGAACACACAAATAAATTAGAAGCTGAATTAGAACAAGCATTGAGTTGTATTAGTTGTGTCAAGTTTGTCAAGTTACTATTTATAATTATTTGGAATTTTTTGCTAATTTTTTTTTTCCAAATTAGAAAATAAAAATTTTGCCTGTCTTTTTAATGATAAAATCAAATGTCTCACATCTGTATTATATGCATTACAACATAAAAAACATCAAAAGCCTATAACTGACCCTGAGGAATTTGTTAAATACATCGAATCAGAAGACAGAGAATTGAAAGATTTTTTTGAAGTTTTATATCAATCCATTAATCCTGCTTCAAAAAATGAAGCCACAAAAAAACAAATAAAAACCAAAATCATGTTCATATGTTATCAATTAGCTGCAATTTGTAATAAACAAGTCAGTGATATTAAATCATCTATAGGAATCTTTATGTCAGGGTGTGGTACATCAGCAGTTGGAATAGATTCGCTTTCTGGGATGGGATTAAGCTCCACCTACCAAACAGTGTTTAATAAGATCAACAATATAATAAAAAATCATAATTCATCAGTAGAAACCTATTTTAAATCAAATGTATTAATACTTAAATATAGTATTTAAATATATATTTTTTTTAATTATGCTAATTTTTAATTAACCTTTTTTAAAATATTAATTAGTTTCAAAACCTTTTGGTATTTAACATTGATGATTACCATAATCTGCATCAATCAAGACTACCAAGTACCACATCTATTTCTCAAATCTCACATATGGCAACATTACTTGTTAATAAGATTAATGCTCCAGCAATTCCAATTAATGCATCCAATATACATAACCCCAATGGTGTTGAAGCAGGATTACTAAAAAATTTTCTAAAAAGAAATTTCAATAATATTATTTGTGAAAGCTATGACCAAAATAAAATGAAATGGATTTTTGTAACTGATACAATAGACTTAAACGAGGAAGACTTAATTGATTCATTAATTGTTCATTCTTATGATGCTGATTTAATGGAAACACATTCCAAGCATTCCTTTAAATTTGCAAAGCTAATTGATTTTATACCTCAGGATTTAAATAATATTAATGATTATTTAAAATGTCTTGAGATTTTTTTCAGGTTTGGCTATTGATTTTAAATATCAGACTAAAAAAAAAAATTTATAATTAATATTTATTTATTTTTTTAGTTTTACTGAAATTCAAAATTATCTTAAGAATTCTCTAATACCAGTTCCAGCTGATTTTCCAGGACAGCTATATATTAGACATTCTATTACACAAAAACTCAAGCTTAAGGAATTATTTCCAATATCTGACATTATTACTCACCTTATACCATTGTTAGGTCCATTACATGTCTCTCTTAATACTCGTGAAAGTTGCTTCTTGACATTTTGGAGTTTCTTCAATGAATTTTATAAAGCTATATTTCAAAAAATAAAAAACCTACCAGCCAAGCCCAAGCCTTGGAAAATTAATATTTTGTTATATGTAGCTCATGCATCATGGAAAATAGTCAGGAAGCATGTTATTAAACGTTTTGATAAAAGCAAGGATTTGGCATATTGTACCTTTTTTGATTTATTAGATTCCTTGATACCTTCTACTTTAGATCTTTATGTGGTGCTTTTTCAGAATAATCATTTTGAAGAATATATTGAGACAATATTCAGGCTGTGGACAATGATGTGTCGATTTCAAAGGAAAAACTATAATAAGATAATACTTGCATTTTTATCAGATATTCAATATTGGATTAAAATTGATCATCCAATCATTCAAATACTTAAATCCCACCTCAATGCTTTTGATGAGTACCCTGTGGAGAACTTTCACAGTCTTGTTAGAAGGCACACAAATGCAAAAATCTTAGTTCCAGAATGGTTAAGACGTGATGGAATTTTTATTGATTATCAACGTCATGATAATGACTTCACACAAACCTTTAGAGTCAAAAAGACATATCCATACTCTAAACAGAATATTGATATAATGGTAAAAAGTGGTGCAATATTTTTGTTAAAACTTTTTGACAATTTTTCAAAAAATTCTGGTAAATTTGAGGTGAAGAAGGAAGGAAGAAAAATTAAAAAGCCATACTGGTATTTCCCGGGAATTGCTAAAGGATTTCCTGAAGGTGCACTTCCAATAGGATATCATTTAAAACAACCCCCAAAACCTAACCATTTCTGTGATGCAAATGAATGCAAAAATCTTTCTATGATTAGTGGAAGTGTTAAATTATGTGGTCATGCTTATCATGATGATTGCTGGAATAAATCTGATTGCATTTGTATTCATTGTCATAGTTATCTCTCAGCTTCAATTGATGAATTGTCCAAGTCATATAATAAACGATTAGAAATGGATAATGATACTCAAAATGAATTTGAACCGCCTAAAGATGATTTATTGGAAGAAGAAACAAATAATATTGATGAAATCCCTGCTTATGAAGAGTTAAACCAAAGATTAGATAGAATGCTTACAGGTAATTCAATGTCATTATATATTATATATTATATAAATTCTATATTATATGATTTGTTAAGTATATCAATATAATTAGATTTTGATGAAAATAAGCTGTGAAATTAATCCTCTTGTCAATCTAATCAGTCCTGAAGAAAGAAAAAATTTTTAGAAGAAATCTTTAAATAATAAAAATAAACGATTATTTATTTCAATAAAAAATTGAAATGTTGCGTGCATGATTTTTATTGGTTAATTTCGCTTGATTTTTTGTGATACAATAATAGCCAATGATAGGATTTTTATCTATGCTGCTTATATTAATACTATCGTTTTCCATATCCACTCTAACTTCATACCAGCAGGATCGGTCAGCTCAATAATATGAGTGGCAGATAGAATAATGATTGCATTTTATCTGAATATATATCTACCTCAATTTCAACACTGGCTGGATATGTGCATCTCTACAGAGTGGCGAGTAAGACATATACTATATTCTATATAAAAAAAATAGTGAGAAAAATATTATTATTTGATTAAACTTAGACATCTTTTATATGAAATCAAAGAAAAAAGTCTCTATTACAGGAAATGGAAGATAAGTTATTCAAGCTAAAAATTTTCAATCATAATGTAATATCTTTATTACGCATTTGATGACTTGATCTCTTTTTCCAGATCTAGAGGATTCATCCAACCGATTCTAATGGACATAGGATCAGAAATCAGCACAGTGGTATCAAAGACAATGAACTTGCCATTCTGTAAATAGTTATTGATGATTTTAGAAGCTTTACATGGATCTTCTTCTATGTATTGTCTTATAATTCATGCAATATCTTCTATGGATCCTCCACCATTAAATAATACAAGATGCGTTGCATTCTCACGAATAATTTTTGGAACTTGAGTAAATTTATGTGAAATATTCTATGTATTGTCTTATAATTCGTGCAATATCTTCTATGGATCCTCCACCATTAAATAATACAAGATGCATTGCATTCTCACGAATAATTTTTGGAACTTGAGTAAATTTATGTGAAATATAAATAGCAGAGATATTGTTATGTCATCCTCTATTAAAAAATGGAATGATGCGATTTTGAATCACTGGAGATTCAGTACACACATCCTCAAAAATAAATACTGTACGTCTTTTTGGATTTTTAAACTGCTTTAGATCCGGAATTTTATCAGGTGTAAATGTAGTAAAAGTAACATCTTCATAATACGGTTTGGAAGGATCTGCTATTTTCTTATAGAAATTTTGAAGTAATTGGTATTTGGGTTCATTGGTATGGTGCCCCACTAATACAATATCATTACATCGTATATGACGTTCACTAATTCATTTTTTTTCATAATATTTATCCCCAAGAAAAAGATATAACACCATATTGGATTTACCGGTGTTTGATCTTCCAGACATTACAATATAGAAAGGCCACTTTGGAGCGTCTTCATCGTCTAAAGGTTTTTTTGGTGGTTTAACTTCATCAATATGATATATATAATAGTAATTCTTTTCCGTTTTTTTAGTAAACCATAGTTAAAATTTTTGCAAGGAAATAAAATAAGTCTCAAAGAATGCGTGTACAAAATATCACGTTTCTGGTTAAAACTTCATGTGGGTGTGCTAGGTGACAAATGAAAAAGTTCCTTCGATTTTAATAGTAAAAATTGACATGTTGCATAAAATTTCTACATAGTTATTACAGTAGGCGCGTGAAATGTGATATAATTGATTCACATATGTAATCATTAGAAGTTACACGAAACTGCGCGTCTTTCCAAATAAAAAAATTATGATTAATTGTTATCTGAACCATAATTATTTTACTAAACATGATTACAAGATCAAAATTATCAGGGTTATTCAATGAATTTTTTTCATCGGAGCATTTTTTGGTTGTGGGGGCTTCTTCTGATCCATCGAAATATGGAAATAAAGTTTTGAAATGGTAGGTATAATTGCAAAAAAATTAAGATTTAATAGATAGATTTTGCAAATATTATTTAATTTTCTGATAAAAATATTTGAATCATATAGGTATATGAATAATAATTATCCAGTTACAGCTGTCAACCCAGTAATAAATTTATACAATATTATCTATAATACTTATTTATATGATATAATAATAACAAATATTTTTTCTTGATAATTATTAACGATTTAATTAATTTATGGAGGAAAGAATGAAAAAATTGTAGAAGGTTTAAAAACTATACCAAACCTATCATCATTCTCATCAAATATTCCACCATCAAAAATTTCAGTTTCAATTATCACGCCTCCAAAAATTACCAAAACAATTTTAGAAGAAGCTGCCAAAGTAAGTTTAATTATTATAATTATCAACAACAATTTATTTTTATTATTTTTTAATAATTTTTCTAAATCTTTTAATATACAAATTAATTAAATAATAAATGTTGGTTGATAATAAATAAATAATAGCTTGTGGGTGTGCTAGGTGACAAATGAAAAAGTTCCTTCGATTTTAATAGTAAAAATTGACATGTTGCATAAAATTTCTACATAGTTATTACAGTAGGCGCGTGAAATGTGATATAATTGATTCACATATGTAATCATTAGAAGTTACACGAAACTGCGCGTCTTTCCAAATAAAAAAATTATGATTAATTGTTATCTGAACCATAATTATTTTACTAAACATGATTACAAGATCAAAATTATCAGGGTTATTCAATGAATTTTTTTCATCGGAGCATTTTTTGGTTGTGGGGGCTTCTTCTGATCCATCGAAATATGGAAATAAAGTTTTGAAATGGTAGGTATAATTGCAAAAAAATTAAGATTTAATAGATAGATTTTGCAAATATTATTTAATTTTCTGATAAAAATATTTGAATCATATAGGTATATGAATAATAATTATCCAGTTACAGCTGTCAACCCAGTAATAAATTTATACAATATTATCTATAATACTTATTTATATGATATAATAATAACAAATATTTTTTCTTGATAATTATTAACGATTTAATTAATTTATGGAGGAAAGAATGAAAAAATTGTAGAAGGTTTAAAAACTATACCAAACCTATCATCATTCTCATCAAATATTCCACCATCAAAAATTTCAGTTTCAATTATCACGCCTCCAAAAATTACCAAAACAATTTTAGAAGAAGCTGCCAAAGTAAGTTTAATTATTATAATTATCAACAACAATTTATTTTTATTATTTTTTAATAATTTTTCTAAATCTTTTAATATACAAATTAATTAAATAATAAATGTTGGTTGATAATAAATAAATAATAGCTAGGAATTACAAAAATTTGGTTACAACCTGGTGCAGAAAATTTGGACTGCCAAACTTTTGCTGTAAATAATAACATCAAATTAATTAGTGGCGGTCCATGTGTTTTAGTTGATGGACCTAAGCTATAATCTTTTTTTTTTAATGCATATGTAAATTACATGTATTTGTATTTGTATTTATATTTTAAATAAAATATAAAAAGTTTAATTGTTTATGGTTATTGTTTTTGTTGTAGTAGTTATTGATGAAAAGTTTCTATTACCATCTAACATCTAACATCTAACATCTTTGACGTTATCATTTTCTTCTACAACAGTGCTACCATCACTTAAAGTTCTTGACATTTCTACCGAATCAATATTTTTTATCTTTTCTTTCATTTCTTTTTCTATTATGACACCACCTTTGTCATCATCTTTTTTAGCTTCTTTTAATTCAGTATTTAATTTCTCATTATTGGCAGACGCTTCTTCGATTCTTCTTAATTCATCTTCCATTAGTTTTGCTATTTCTTCTGGCTTCATATTTTGATATTTATGGATCAACTCTAATATTTTCTCTGGTATTATATCAATTTCTTTTCTATATAAAATCATGGTCATCATTACTTCACAAGGTGGCAATAATTTTTCAGGTATTTTAACAAGAATTTCTTGTGGAAATTCAGCATTTGGATTTTCTGTTACATTTTTGTACATTTTCTTTATTTGATAATGTGTACAATATTCCAGATTTAAATGTACATCCATACGGCCTGGTCTAATACTATAATAATTAACAATAAATTAATATTATTAAAATTTAAAAGTTTTAATTTCAAAAAAGATTTACTTACCAGGCTGGATCAAGAGCTTCGACATGATTCGTAGTCATTATTATAAAATTACCTTCTGACATTATATGACCATCTAAACAACCCAAAAATGTTGATAAACTAAATGATGAAAATCCATTACCAACTTTTGCACCAGAATTATTATTATTTTCTTCGGGTTTTCTTTTAACAGTTTCATCGACTGTTCCGGGTGTTCTTTTGTGTAAAACTTTTGATTGAGTATCAACATCTTCTAATACAACGATCTGATTGGCAGGAATAGAACTAAACGCTGCATTCAGTTCATTGTCATCGAAGACATTCTTTAAATTAAGATAATAAAGATCTCGATTTAATTGCGAGGAAATAGCATTTATTAAACTCGTTTTCCCTGTACCAGGTTTACCATAAAGTAAAATGCCACGTCTATACGGCATACCAATTTTATGATAGAATTCTTTGTCAGTAGTAAACGTATCCAATTCTTTTCTAATTAATTGTTCTTGAGTCTCATCCAACGCAACTGTATCCAAACCTCTAATTGACGACAGTGCTTGTACTCTATACCAAGATTCATCAATTCTTTCGTATCTTAATCTAACGCGTGATTCCTTTTGTGATTCAAGATATGCTCTAGTAACAACACTAAGAAAATCTGACACTGCATTAACACTTGTATCCGAATTATCCACAGTTGTCAAAAAAATTGATGGCATAGCTTTGTGACCGTTTAATGCATGAAAATTATTACCATTACCATTGCCGTTACCATCGTCTTTACCCTCGGAATTTTGATCTGGCATGTTATATTTTACATTGAATTTTTTTCCTTTATATTCAATGGATATTTGTTCATCTGTTTCTGGTAATACGTTGAAATCAGGAGGTGAACAATCATCATCATCATCTTGATCATCGGCGGAATTCGTTTGTTGTACAAGAAAACTACCTTTCGATAGTTTTTTAGTTTGTTGAGAAATTATCCATGATATTGCCTCATACAATGTACTTTTATACTGATTACCATACATTCCGGTTGCATAATATTCAATTTGTACAGTGACTGCGTTTTTATTCCAAATGCCTTCTGCTGCAACTTTAGAACCAAATAAATATAAAGCAGCCAATAAAGTTGTTATTCCTGATGCAGTTATCGTCATTAAAAACATATCCACTGCCATTATTCCAGATAAATATGGACTCAATTTTGTTGGAAGCCACGCTAATAAAATTGTTTGAACTTGCCCTTGATTAAATAAATCAATAAACGGTTGAAAAATTATCATGTATTCAGCCATATTCTTTTAATTATTTTTATGTTTATGTTTATAATCGTTTTATTTCAATTTATATAAATTGATTAATTGATAGTTGTTTTAAAATTATCTGGTAATTGTTTTAAATGTTTCTGAAAATCGGAAGGGTTTAAATAAATATCTAGATGTCAAAACCGCAGATAAAAATGATGTGACAGTTACACAATATTTAAATTAACTACTGCGTACTATATAATTAATTCTTTTACTACGGTTCGGATATTCACATTTGTTATGTTATTATAGTAATATTTGGGAAAATCTATCGGAGATAAATAGATAATATAATAAATGTTATTTCACCAAACAATCTTTTGATATAAAGAACATAGAAAGAAAGCTTGGCTGTATCATGTCATCATATGTCATCATCTACCACAGTCAACGATGGATATAGTGGATCATTTGTTTAAACTTTATATATAAATTGCAAAATTTTTTAGTCCAATTCACTCTATGATAGGTTCCACTATCACTGTATTCAGCGCTGATTGTATTGTGTAAATTTCGAAATTGTTGCACTGAGAAGTATTAAATGTATGCAAGTGGACAAACAATTTGTTTATTCTGATGCTACAATATAAAAAGTTTCATATTGAAATAATATTTATTAGTTTTTCAATATAAGAATATAGTTCACGAAACTTCTTATCATATAAGTATTGTTTGTGCCCTTGCTTACTATATAGTAATGGTAATAGAGACATTCGTTATAGAGAGAAACTAATAATAATAAAAGAAAAGTTGTTATGGCGGGGTTCCATTTAGTTGGTATTTGTCCCTTATAGATTGGAAGAGAATCTTTTTCTCGGAACTTATTTTGTCATTTATAGTCACAATTGTCACATTTTAATAAAATTATTAATATACCGAGGACATATAAACAATTCAAAATTTGGTCTTTAAGTTTACAACATCTAAAAAGTCTAGTGTATTAGTAATCGATGACATCTTTTCTTTGAATTATATAAATGCGGAGACCTTTTCATTGCAATTTATGACGTCACATTTCGAATCATAATAATAATGTCGGAATAGAATTTCCTGGTACTACCAGTGCTGGCAACGTAAGGTTAAAACCTAATTTAGTAATGACTTAACATATGACTAATACTAAATAGTTTAGTCAGTTTAGACGAGTGCTCATTTGAGTTACGCGGCCAGCACTGGGCACTATCTTTCTTTCTTCTATATACTAATGCGGTTAAGTTACATACTGCCAGTTACACCAACGTCACTTTCTACATGCTACGGCTTATTAGTATTAGTGAGCGAACTATCATTAAATATTAATGTCATTCATTTAAATTTTCAGCAGTTTTTTTAGAACAATCATTCTTTTAGAATCAAATAATATTGCAGAGCACAGGAAAACTGTGCCAATGTAATTATTAACTAATTTGGTTAAAATAAAGAATCTTCGGCTCGATATTCTCGTCGGAATTTAGACTCGCCATCAACTCCAGAGATGATGTCAATCTACAAAATTATTATTTTCTTATTATAAACTCTAAGGATTCAATATCAGTATATTCAATACATTGCTTTTCTACATATTGTATAAGTAGTAAGTCTACTCTAATAATAGTTTTTTTAATAAAACCATTTCTTAGACTTTAATTGTTCTCTCGATCTTGGGTGAATTTGCCTTCTTCTAAATATACTCGTGCTGGCATTACAACCCTTACTTGTAATGGTGCTTCTGAAGGTGGTGGTGCTGTTATCGATTTTGGTGCAGGTATTTTAAGATCACATTCTTTAGTTTAATGATTATGTAACAATATTATTACATTCCGTCAAACAAAATAAAATTAGAGATAAAAATAATTAGCAGATCAAATTGACTTCAGGTTATTTAAATACATTATGGTTAATGTAATTGATTTATAACCCAAACTTGAGTAATACTTTTTTTATCAAATAGACTGGAAGAAATTATATACTTAATTCGTGATTTTAGTTGCCATATTCTACTTCATCTAGTAGAACTAGTAACTTCAGGTGATTACTAATTAAATTTTGCAATGTAGACAACTAATTTCAAAATAAATGAATCCTTCGCTTATTCCTTGAGCTACTTTTTTACTTGATTTATTAGGGTAATTATAAAAATCTTAAAGTATATTTATTGGTTTCCGCTTCCTGTGTTATCTCGTTTACTGGAACAGCTGTTATATCTTCAAGTAAGTTATCTACGATTTCTTTCTATTGTCTACTTTTACTTTTCTGTGTCTGCTCTTTAACATATCCTTCATATTCTACGACAGATACTTTGATAATATTTATTTTTTCTACTATTTGAATCATGCTTTGTTTCGTTTCTAATTTATTCAATTCTGATTTGAACCAATATATACTTTTTAATACACATAGATAAATTAATCTCATGAATCATTATTTGATTCGATTCTATTTCGATTCAATATAAATTAATTCAATGAAAATTCTTGATATTTTCGCCACAACAAATCTTGCTTGAAATTTGTTAGTTCTGACATAACGAATTTTAAATGCGATCCATCATTGTGTTTCGTTCGTTGAAACAATGTTTGAATATTTAAAAAGCGAAAAATTAGAAATCTGGTTTGATTCGAATCAAATTAAATTCAACTTTTCGAATCCAGATTGCTTTAAAATATGACTTGATTCAATTCGTTCAGAGCTTAAATAACTATTACTTATTTAATAAATATATAAAGAATGATTAATATGGGATCTTCAAAATGTTAAGTTTTTTAACCAATAAGTTTGGAAGCTAAAGCCATAAACTATGAAATTAGTTGACATTTTTGAAATGTTTTTTAGTTATTACGTGTATAAGTAACTTTTGATAAAAATTATTAAAAATACATATTTAAAAAAATGGTAAAAACAATAAAAATAATTTTGTCTTTAATTTTTATCAATTACTTGGAAAACCTCTAATTCATCATACTCACTTTCACGTGCTATGTTGATGTTATTATAATTGTTTGAAACACTATAAATTTTACCATTTGAACAAAAGCAAATATCAAATAAATAAAAAAAACATTCCTCGGTTATATAAGCATCATCATCATCATCATCATCATCATCATCATCATCATCATCAACATCAACATAACTAAATTGAGCAGTATTAATATCATTTCTATCAACTATATTAAATATAAAACCCTCAGTCCAGTTGTAACCTCCAACTAATTGTTCCGAATTTTGTATTTTGGCAACCACAAGAGTTTTGTTAAAGTTATTACATTTTTGATGGAATATAGTTGCATTTAAGCCATCCCTACTACTTTGATATAGAAGTTTGAATTCATATTTAATTTCTCTGAATGAAGTGTATGTTGGATTTTTTTTATCAATCCAGCTTGCAAAAAGCAATGTAAGGTTTTTATTGATTGTTAATGATTCAATATTTCCAACTTTTATTCTTGATGGTAATAAATTTAAAGTTTGCTGTTTGTCAGAACCCAAATAATAATCCAAAAGAACTTCCCATAAGTCTTTAGGAAAAAGTTTCTTAAAAGGATGGATTTTGCAACGAAAATCTACACTAGAAATGTCCTGGAATCTAATTAAGGGAATTAATTTTTTCAAAGTGTTTCTTAAATCAATAAAATTTTGTTTTGTCCAAACTTTAACATAATTAATATTATTGATTTCTGGATGCTTGGCTAGTCCCCATTTAAGAATATTTTCCCAAATAATTATTTCCTCAACATAAAAATCATCTCTTTTAAGTATAGCTATTAAAATTGGTTTTTCCAATAATTCAAATTCACTTGACTCAAATAAGTTATCACTATAATCACAAACTTTTTCTAAACAAGTATTTTTCAATTCCTTAAATTTTTCCTTATTGGAGTAGATTGATCTTAAAATCTTAACTGGATTTTCTTTAACGTAGTCCTCATGTTTTTTGATAAAATAATTCATTGTGAATTTGTAAAATAACTCAAGGCCAAGTTCATCTGCATCAATCAATAATTTTAACACATCTTCTCCACTAAACTCATCTAATTCAATTCTACAAGTATATAAGAATCTTTTAAACATAAAATATTGTCATTATTATTATTATTATTATTATTATATAGATGATAAATAATAAATAAAAAACTAATATAAATAACAATATAATAATAAACTTACTTAAGTATTGTTTTAAAGGCCATTTCATTAAGGTTGGCCTTCTCAATAATATAATAACCATTTTCTTTTTTTGCATTAATTAATGCATTTTGAAAAAAAGGACAATGAGCACATATAATTGATGAATGTGCATGAACTTCTTTAATATTTGGTTCTACACCAACATAAATTTTTACATCATATAAATCTTCTGTGTTTAGCAACCTTTCATTTTCATTAAAATAACTTTCCAAGATTGTTGAATCCATTTTTTAAGAATTGTTGATAATATAATGATAAAGTTTAAAAAAGTTTACACAAAAAACGAATGTAACACACGCATAATTACATCATTTTAACATTCTAAAATTTTTGACAACTATAAATTGACTGGTATGAAAGGGAACATATAAAAAAGCTGTAAATTCTTTCCTAAAAATTAATGATGGCGAGGTAGCTTTTGGTCAACGTTGATTCTTTTACGTTTATAGCTGAATTCGAATTAACTTTTTAGCTACACTTGTCAGTTAATTGCGAGCTTTTATATTCAATTCAATACTCGTCGGTTAATTTATTTTACGCAAACATTTAACAATCTTTCTGCTTGCTGTCTTTTTCTTGTACCTAGAAAACTTCGGCGATCTGTAAGCACACTTTATAGTACGACTTACAATAAATAAATAAATATGATTATTTAATGGGCAGGCCTGTTATTGTTCAGGTAAATCGTAAACAACAAAGTATTGCACTGGGTACTCCTTTTACGGTAGTGCGGATGATAGAAAATTAAAAAAAAACCGTGTTGAATTATTTTTTATTTATTTTATATATAAATTCTTTTTTCATTTGTTTTTATTTTTCCTTTCAACACTGATATTAATAAAAAAAATATTATTAATTATGACAAATTATTGTCATTAATTATGCTTAACTTAAATTTTTTTTATATGTCACACGCTTCAACAAGTTGCATTCTTATACAAAATTTTAATTATTCATCGATCCCCCCTTGGAAAAAGAGGCTGATTCAGCAATTTGTTTTGTAGATTACAAAATTTCAGGCATGTACTTACCTTTGAGTGAATATACCAGCAAGCATAATTTTATTGGCATATGATAAACTGGTTTTATGAATAGATTCATCATAGATTTTATATGCTTGACATCATTTTGATTAATTTACGAAACGAATATTTTCATTTGCATTTAAGAATGAAGGTGTAATTCAATGTTAATAGCTTTTTATTACATATAAATTAATTCTTTTAATTTTTATCAATTATTTGAAAAACTTCCAATTCATCAAATATACTTTTACTTGCTATATTGATGTTACAATAAGACTTTGGAAAACCACTAACACCAATCATGCCTAAATTAAGAGCCCAAATATTATAAATTAAAAGAAATATCCCGACCATAACCAAAAATAGGTAAACTAGAATAATCACACTTAATCGCATGTTCATAATCATTATTAATTACATAACTAAATTGTGCAGTATTAATATCATTTATATTAAATATAAAACTTTCTGTTGTATTTTTAAATCGATCTCCATTCCAATTAAGTGGATTATAACCACCAATTATTCGTTCAGAATTTTGTATTTTGCTAACTACAAGAGTTTTGTTGATGTTATCACATTTTTGATGGAATTTAATTGCACTTAAACCATCTCTACTACTACGATATAAAAGTTTGAAATCATATTTTACTTCCCTGAATGAGGTATATGGTGGACTTTTTCTATCAATCCAACTTGCAAAAATCAAAATAAGATTTTGTTTAATTATTGTTGATTCAAGTTTTGGATTTCTTGGTGGCAATAAACTTGAAGTTAGCTGTTTATTAGGAATTAAATAATATTGTGAAATATCTCTCCACAAAATCGTAGGAAATAACATATCATATGGCATGATTTTGTTGCTAAAGTCCTCATTAGTGATATCCTGAAATCTAATAAAGGAATTATATCTTCTAATATATTTTTTAATTTTTTAAAATCAATTTCATCCAATTCTGAAATGTCTTTTTCCTCTCCTTCTAAATTTTCAATTTGTCCAATTCCCCATTGGATGACATGATCCCAAATAAAAATTTCATTTAAATTTAGGTCATCTTTTTCTAAAATGGATATAAGTGTTGATTTTTCAATATTTTTGAAATCATTAGTTTTTAAAAATAATTCTGGTTCCTTAACAATTAAATTTTCAAAATATTTGTGAAGTAAGCCAAATGATTGATAATTTGATGAAATCTGATAAAAATAAGTTAAATTCTGTTTGATCCATTGTTTTCTTTTTGTAATTAAGCAATCTTGCAATTCATCAAGCAATTCAACAAAGTCTAATTCATCACATGCCACAAGAAGTTCAATAATTTCATCAGGATCCAAATTATCTTTAATAATAATTCCATTATAACTGTAACTTTTTTTAAAAACATTGTTAATTGATTAGTATGTATGTTATGTATTTACTGACTAAATGCTAAATTAAATTAAACTTACATTAAAATAACTTCAAATATTTTTGGAGATATGTTATAACTTTCAAATAAAACTGTACCATCCTCAGATTTTTTATACCAATCATTTGATAGAGCTGCTTTAAAGTATGAAGACCTAGTCTTTAAGATTACAGAATGAGCCTTAAAAATTTTAACATCCTGGTCTACTCCAACTTTAATTTTTACATCATAAAAGTCTGATTCATTTAACAGATTGGTTAAATCATTTACAAGTTTACTTAAATGTTTTAATGACAAAGTTTTTTTATTACATCTAAGTGTATTCATATTTTTAAAAAAGGAATAAATTTTTTTTTATATATATAAAATAAATTGGTACGGTTGTTGTATAAAAAATATTAATCGTTCGCATATGGTGCATCGTTGAGATTCTGTTCTATAAATGGTTAGTCAATAAAAACCGTTTTTATATTCTTTTGCCGATCAGTCAGTTTTAACACCTTACGTTTACTTTACTAAGAAAAACTCTTACTACCCACCGTTAACATTACACTGGTTAATCAACGTTACTATGTAAACGACCAAAACCTCAGGGGTCTATACTACTATGATAGCAAATAGACAATCAAACCTGACTGTTTAATTTCCGATCCCAAAAGTGTTTTATTAAGCGAGAAAAAATTAATTTATTTCAGAAAAAAAGAAATATTATTTC